GGCAAAGCCAAACCAAACAACTGTGAATCTTCAAGCTGTTGATGTAACCCCGGGAGTTTTAATGAAGGAATGGCGAAAACTGTCAAAATTCTTGCAAGAAAATGGTGGACAAATTGCAGAAGGAATTCTGTCCTCCATGCAGAAACGCGAAGAGAAGCTTTTTGACAATATTCATTTCCTTGCTGGAGTTTATGTTGACCCACGGTATCGGATTCTTCTTACCTCAAGGGAAATACCAAAGGCAAAGGAAGGCCTCCTTGATATTGCTCAACGACTCGAAAAACAAAATTTATTGCTACATTTGAACTCCGCGAAAGAGGTTGAAGAAAATGAAACACAACAAAAGGAGTCCACAATCGAATGTGCGGTTTCTGAAAGTTCACATCCTTCAGAAGTAGCAGGCTGTTCTCAAACTTCCGTCTCCACTCTGAACTTGTTCGAGCGTCCATCCCTGAGACATCTTCAGCCATCACGGGGAAATGGAGATAATTCAAGCATCAATTCTTCAGAAGATGACGACTTCGAAAAGGAATTGGATAAACAAGACAGACGCCAGCGAGTTTCTGCAATTCATAATTGTAATGAAGCATTATTTGAGAGAAACTTTCAGGAAGATTGTGAGGCGATGGAGTCTATTGGTAGGCTAAAAGTTAAGTCTGTTTTTGAGGCCATTCACAGCTACCCACACCGCATTCAGGCTGCCTGTAGAATTGCTTCAAGCATGCCAACAACTCAAGCTAGTGTAGAGCGACTGTTTTCGGCTTTAAAGTTAATTTTAAATGATTTGCGGCAGGCTAGGAAAGATGACTTGATTGCTGCAATAATTTTTTACAGAATGAATTATGAATGATTCTAGTTTGTATCATTGATGACATTTAAATTGTTTTAAAAGTCTGAATAAAAAAATGTGTTTTCAAAATTACAAAGTATGCACTTTTTATTTAGTTAAAAATTAATTTGAGTCGGAGCGCGGAGTCGGAGCGGAGCTGGAGCAGTCAATATTGGTGCCAGAGTGGAGCTGGAGTGGAGCAATTCAAAAATTTGATTGCTCCAAATCCCTGATAAAAAGATAGAGATGCTACCTACATCACTAATGGAGTGTGGATTGTTTTTGTTTTTAGTGTAGTGATTTTTTTGATAGGGGGAATTTCCATTGCAATATAGCTTCAAGCAACAAGAATCCTGTTTTCTCATTCATGATCTCCACCTAATACTCATTTACCAATTGAGAGTTGTAGCCTGGTTGGTGCACCTAAATCAGGCTCTTTTATGTAGGGAACCTGCCTATCATCCCCCAGCACTCCCTTCATATGGGCTTAGGGCAAGATTATTAGAGGGTCGCACACTATTGCATCTGTAGTGAGAGAGCAGCATATTAATCTGCTGTTAGTTCACACCCTTACCCCACCAGAACCCTCCTTCACACCCTCCTCCTCAAACTGTGGTTGGGAATCACTTACATACACACCAGGGTCCCTTCTCCTTCCAGGGCAGATATTTGTGGAGAAACTGTGGGTTCATTATAAACAGTATCTCTCCCCCACCACAACTCTAGGTCCTTGCTTGACCTGCTCACACTACCTCTTCAGGTCATTGCTTCCCCCATTACCACCATTCTCCCTTTGCCACACATCCCTCAAAGTGCATCCTATAAAGTTCTCTTATTTCTACAGCAGTGGTTCTCAACTTATTACACATGGCGGGCCGCATATGTGGCCCACAATGTGTTATCTGGGCTGCAGGGGGCAGGGCAGCGGCAGCCCGGATCCTGAGTTTGGACTCCCCCACCATGCGGAGCCGGTTGGCTGCCCTGGCCCCCGGACCTGTGTGGCTGCCCCAGCCCCTGTGGGGCTGGCCGCCTGCCCCAGACCCCTGCAGCGGGGCTGCTTCTACCCTGGACCCATGCTGCGTGGCTGCCCCAGACCCTTTGGGGCTGGCCGGCAGACCCAGATCCCCACCCTATGGAGCCGCATAGCTTCCCAAACCCCCACCTGCCCAGACCCTTGCCATGGGGCCAGCTGCCTACCACAGCCCACCATGAGGCGGGGCGGGGCAGGCCGGGCTGGCCAGCTGCCCTGACTCCAGACCCCTGCTGCCTGGCCCCCGGACCACACCACTGGACTAGCTGCCCTGACCCCCGGACCCCTGTCACAGGGCCAGCTGTCTGCTGAGGCCCACCCTGGACCCTGAGGGGCAGGGTTGGCTGCCCCGACTCCAGACCCCTGCCACACGGCTGCCCTGTGGGGCTGGGTGGCTGGCAGACCCGGACCCCCACCACCTGGAGCCGCACGGCTGCCCCAACCCTGGACCGCAGCTGCCCCCATCCTGGATCCCCACTGTGGGGATGGCTGCCGTGGCCCACAAGGCTTGGCGGGGCTAGCCAGCTGCCAGGCCCCCATGCAGCTGCCCTGATCCTGGACCCCCGCCATGCAGGGCTGTGGGGCTGCTTGCCCAGGACTCCCTCCGCATGGCTGCCCTCACTCCTGGACCCAGCTGCCTGCCCCGGACCCCGCCACGTGGGGTGGGCCGACTGCCCCAGCTCCTGGAGCTCATGGGGCCGGCCGCTGTCCAGATCCCCACCGCATGGCTGCCCCAGACCCTGGTGGGAGCCCCAGATCCCTGACCAGCCACCAGTGCTAACCCCAGACTCCTGCCATGCGGGGTGGGCTGGTGACCCCGGCACGTTGGCGGCCGTTAGCACACAGCTTGGCCCGCTGAGAACTGCTGCACTGTAGACAATCTCCCCATGCAGCCCTGCTGCCTGTGATATGTGTAGGCAGCATCAGGGGATGCCAGAGCGATTCTTCTGCTTGCAACATCAGGCAGTCTGTGGGCCTGATATCTTCCTCCAAGTCCGGCTTTTCTGGTTTTCACCAGAATCAACAGGGTACTGTCATTGATGCCTAGACCAGTCCCTGAAACTTTGAAATTGATTGGATGCAGTGTTCAAAAGTTATCCCAATACAGACACCGGAATGCCATGACATTGAGTGTAGGGCCTTGCTGTGCATGGCCAATGACCTGGACTGTGCACCTAAACAAAGGAGTACAATTCTCTTACACACCTGTGCAGACTACCTGAATCTCAGATCCAGTTGCGTAGGAGAGAATGGGGCTACTTGTCTACTTACTCCCTCCACGTAGCTAGACGACAAGGAATGGGTGGAGCCCATCTCACTGATCAGTAGCTAAACCAGCAGCCTTATACCAGCAGTAAATTACTCCCCCTTATAGCCCTCTGGGGTGCGGACAGGAAGGAAGCAGGGAGGAATTGTGGCTCATGGGGTATGTCTGAGTCCCCATGACTCCTAGGGCCACTTTTGAATTGATACAACTTACACATTACCACAGCCCTGAACAAGGGGTGAAGTCACAATATTGTCTGTACTTATGTGGCAGGTCTCTTGGGCAGAAACCCCCTATTTGTTACTAATAGTTCAGTGCTATACTACTGAAGTTTCTATAGTGATGTAATATTCTGCCTTGAGCACAATGAATCTGTTTCAGTTAATTCCCCCATTGTTTGCCACATTATTTCAAATAATATTTTACTGCATATTGACATCCCAGTTAGTCTGCCTGCCAATTGGTTTTATTTATTTAGTAATAGCCAATAAATTTTCCAGTTAAGAGTCCATAAAATTCATATGGTTTCAGATGTTTTCACCATTTTCTAGTCCCAGAATAGTTTATTTAAAACACATTTTAAAAAGACAGAATTAATCCTTAAGGTGGCTAACATCTCTTGCTGCTTAAAAATCTCTACTGTGTAGTATATTATACAGAAGTTATAAAAAGTCTCATGCCCGAGCACTGTTATAAACCTTGTTAATGCAAAATATAACCTTTTATAAAACTTCTGGGCAGCTTCAAAATGAACTACGAAGCATGAATAATACTTAATTTTCATAACTTTTTAATACGATGCATTAGCAACATTATAAAACTTGTTAATTAAGCAATATTCTCTATAGCTTTCTAGTATATGAAGCAATAAATGGCTGCTAAAATTGATTACTAGCCAAAGCAAAGCAGAGATTGTTTAATCAATCTTGGAAGCTATTTATTACTCGTAGCCTACACGACAATAGAAATTATTTCAATTATAAAACACAACAAAATGCACACCTGATTTTAAGGAGCAGAAAGTAGGGTGCTACCTCTCTAATTCATTGCAGAAAAACATTTGATCCTGCAACTTGCTAAGTGCCATCTGCGGGTGGTAGAGAGTGGTCTCAGCTCCCACTGACCTCATTGATTTTATTTTATTATTATTTTGTATTTATATTCCAGTAGAACAGAGCCCACAATATGCAAAGTACTGTACAAAACCAGAGCAAGATGGTCTCCACCCCAATCTATTAAAGCAACAAAATACAAATGGTTGGGAAGAGATGTATAACCAAGATATAGCCATATTAATGTATACTACATAAATTTTTTTTAAATGTGAAATAAATGTCCCCTATCTCCTACTGCTTCTCCTCCTAACCACTATTATTTGGCTAATGTCTTGTAGGTGTGACGGTAGAAGTGACTTGAAGGAGGAAAGGGTAGTGGCCTGACAGATCATTTTCAGTAAGGGTGTTCTATGTCGTCTGGAAGAAAGCTCTAAGACTGTTTTGGGAGATGTGGACAAATGAAGGGGTTAAGGTTGGCATTGATGACAGAGAGGGTAGGAGTGACACCATTTGAGTTTGGATTTACCCCCATTTCTACTCATGAAGCCAGTGAAATGTCATAACTTGTGAGCTGCTTGTGCCCTACAAAGATTCAAACATGGCAAGCCTAAACTTGTGCCAGATAAAGGGGACCAAACCAATGAATCAGAGAGCCCTTTTATTGTACAATAGAACACTGAATTAAAAAAATATACAAGTGGCTTATGAAGTGCTGGCTCTATAGTACCTTGAGCATGTTTTATTTGCTGTACTGATTTCCAGCACAGGGCTAAATTCTTTTCTTAAAAATAACTGCTGTTCTCTTACTTTTTCCCCCAGAATGTTTGTATGACAGAATAGCACAAGAAACTGTGGATGAAACTGAAATTGCACAGAGACTCTCCAAAGTCAACAAATACATCTGTGAAAAAATCATGGATATCAATAAATCATGTAAAAATGAAGAAAGGAGGGAAGCAAAGTACAATTTGCAATAAATTTTGGATTTTTAATAAAGTCTTAGTGTTTTACTTATGTCGTCGTCTTGATTTGTGTGGCATTTTTGCTGATACGATTGAACTGACTTAGTGTGGATCTCATTCTGAAACGTTGATGTATTTTTAAGCAGTTTTGTAAAATGGCTAGATATGTAACCTGCTTTAAGTGATTTCAGATATAGAATCATAAAAATGTAGGACGGGAAGGGCCCTTGGTAGGTCCTCTAGTCCAGTCCCCTGCACGGAGGCAAGGCTGAGTATTATCTAGATAGAAGACTATCCCTGACAGGTGTTTATCTTAACCTCCAATGACTGAGAGTCCACCACCTCCCTCGGTAATTTGTTCCAGTGCTTAACTACTCCTGCAGTTAGGAAGTTTTTTACCTAATGTGTAACCTAAATCCTCCCTTGCTGTAATTTAAGCCCATTACTTGTCCTGTCCTCAATGGAGGAGAACAATTTATCACCCTCCTCTTTATAACAACTTTTACCTACTTGAAGACTTGAGTCCCCATTTTCCCCCCCCCCCCTTTTCCAGACTAAACAAACCCAATTTTTTCAGTCTTTCCCTATAGGTCGTGTTTTCGAGGCCTTTAAACCTTTTTTGTTCTCTAGATTATCTCCAATTTTTCCACATCTTTTTTTGACGTGAGGTGCCCAGAACTGGACACTATTCTAGAACCTTATGAGTGCTGAGTAGAGTGGAAAAATTACTGCTTGTATCTTCCTTACAACACTTCGGCTAATGCATCCCAGAATGATGTTGGCTTTTTTTGCAACAGTATTATATTGTTTCATATTTAGTTTGTGATCCACTATAAGCCCCAGAATCTTTTTCTGCAGTACTCCTTCTTAAACAATCATTTCCCATTTTGTATTTGTGCAATTGATTATTCCTTCTGAAGTGTAATACTTTGCATTTGTCCATATTGAATTTCATCCTATTTATTTCAGATCATTTCTCCAGTTTGTCAAAATCATTTTGAGTTCTAATCCTGTCCTCCAAAGCACTTGCTACCTGTCCTGGCTTTGTATCATCTGCAAACTTTAATGTACACTCTGCCATTATCTAAATCATTAATGAAGATATTGAAAAAAACCAGACTCAGCAGAGATCCCTGCAGATCCCCACTCGATATGCCCTTCAAGCTTAACTATGAACCATTAACTTCTCTCTGAATACAATTTGCACGCACCTTATAGTAGGTTTGTCCAGGCTACATTTCCTTAGTTTGCTTATGAGAAGGGCATGTGAGATCGTATCAAAAGTCTTACTAAATAGGGCATGTCCATTAACTAATGCATTAGTCCATTAAATAGTGAAATTTCAAAGGAGAGTGAAACTTCGAGGTTGTTCCAATGCATTGCAACATGCCAACTGCAGTTCTGTATAGGTTGTGATTCTGCAAACAGTGACCTGCATTTTTCTTCTAGTGAAGTCTGTGGGATGCTACATGGACAAATCTCTATGCAGGATCTGAGCCATAGTAAACCTCTGCTTTAAGTGAAGTTCTGGTGAAAAGGGAAAAAAAAAACAAAAAAAACCCCACACCTCTTTACTGTAAGACAGTTTCACTGTACTTTGCAGTGTTCTTTCCTGAAACTGCCTATAAATTTGCTTGCTTTTATGATCTTTTGTTTCTATTTTAATATATTTGGTCTAGAGCAGCTAAACAGTGCTCCCTTAAAACTTATCTTGACCAACTAGGTCACCATTAGTTTCAATTAAAAAAAAAAAAAAAAAAACCTAAACTTTTCTCCAAGTTTTAGTATGTGAATGACTTGTAAGCATTTCTAACAGGAACTCAATTGATGATCTTTTCAGACATAAGGGAAACTTTTAGATAGAAAGTATATCTATGCAACCTATTCAGAAGGTGTGTTACAATTTCTCTTGGAGCACTACATTCTTAATAGTATTATTTCTTTTCTGAACGTATAAAACACTAATAGAGAATATAAAGATTCTGTATGCAAGAAAAATGTGTAATAGAAAAATAAGTTCTAGTACTAATTGTATTGAGTCCATAAATGAGCTATGGAAATATTTGAACACAAGCTTAAGCATCAAGAGAACTTATTTTCTGGATTGGAGTCAGTCAGGCTTATGGCACAAAAATCAAAGAAATATTTGCTTTTGGCATGACCAAATGACCCCTTAATGGCTGTAACTGGATGAAATCAACGTCTTCTACTGTGTCTTGTTTCATGCAAGGGATTTGGGAGTAGGTGCTATCGAGAAAAGAATTTAAATCCGGCAAACCCATAAACAACTGAGCAATCTAGAAGATGGTGTCTAACTGATAGCACTTCTATAAAACTGTATTTACAAAAGTGTGGTTATCAATAATAGGTATGCAGTGTTGGAGCTCTCAGTCTCAGGGTGTAAGGCCTTGTCTACACTGCCACTTTACAGCACTGTAACTTTCTCACTCAGGTGTGAAAAAACACTCCCCCCACCACCCCAAGCGTTGCAAACTTCTGCGCTGTAAAGTGGCAGTGTAGGCAGTGCACCAGCACTGGGAGCTGCGCTGGTAGCTACTTCTTTCATGGAGGTGGGTTTTTTTAATAGCGCTCCCCCAGCGCTGGTGTTGTAACTACACAGCCACATTAAAACGCTGCTGCGGCAGATAAATTCATGCAAAATAGGTCCATCAATGGCTATTAGCTAGGAATGAGCGACAGGGGATGGATCACTTGATTACCTGTTCTGTTCATTCCCTCTGCGGCACCTGGCACTGTCGGAAGACAGGATACTGGGCTAGATGGACCCTTGGTCTGACCCAGTAGGGCCATTCTTATGTAGTGAAGACATGACTTTAGAAAGACATGGTGGGTGAGGTAATACCTTTTATTGGACCAACTTCTGTTGGTGAGAGAGAAGCCTTTGAGCTGCATAGAGTTCTTCCTCGGGTCTGGAAAAGAAAGTATGACAGCTAAATGCAAGGTTGAACAGATAGGTTGGCATAAGTAATTAGTACATATTGATGTGACCATTCAAGGTGAAGTTGTCCCTTAACACTCCAGTAGTCATAGGACTAATGGGGGTTAGTGGGTTACAGATTATTGTAATAAGCCGTAAATACAGTATCTATTTAGCCCATGATTTTTAGTGTTTAGCAAAGTTATGAATTTAAGCTCCCAGGCTTGTATTTTCAATGTGTTGTGCAGGTTTCTGATGAGTATGAGGACTGAGGTCAGATAGAGAGTGATCACTTTGTGAAAAGTATTCACCACAGATGATAGGGTGGGTGGGGTTTTTTTGGGTCTTTTATCAGATTGTTCGGTAACCCACTAACCCCCCTTTTGTCATTTGACTGCAGGAGTGTTAACGGGCCACTTCACCTTGAATGGTCCCTTAGAATATGTGTTAACTACTTATGCTAAACTATCTGTTTGATCTTGTATTTAGCTGTGACACCCTGAATACCTTTCCCAGACTTAAAGAAGAGCTCTGTGTAACTGAAAAGCTTCTCTCTCACCAACAGAAGTTGGTCCAATAAAAGACACCCACCTTGGTTATCAATAAGTCAATTAGTTCACTGATTTGAGCATCCGAAGAAGTGGGCTGTAGCCCACGAAAGCTTATGCTCTAATAAATTTGTTAGTCTCTAAGGTGCCACAAGTACTCCTGTTCTTTTTACTGATTTGAGTGTTTAACCCCCTTCCTTCCCAAAAAAGTCTGCATTGGTAGTTTTGGGATGCTTACAAAGCCTTATCTTCCTTAAAACACTTGATAGGTTAAGCCATATTGTTAATTCCTATTGAAACTGTCTATATGTATTGGGATAATTTGAAAGTAGAATTGCAGGGATTCTTCTAGGGGATTTTAAGGAAAAATTAAATAGACAAATGACACATGGTTCAGTGGATGCATTATAAACCAAAATAATGCGGTATAGTGCCATAACAGCACTCGTTTAAGTGCTTTGTTGGATCAGCGCTGAAGTATTTATAATTCGTACGCTCTGAGTGTCGAGCCCATTTCATGTAATTCTCAAAAAGTTCTAAAATACAAACAAACATTCCAGTTCTTTTGTTGTCTTTAGAAGTGCTTTAATTACACAGAAAAAGGTATGGAACTAAGTATTAGCCTAAAAGCATCACTATTCCAGACAGAACTTAATTGCTTTCCTGAACTGGGGTATTAGGTAGGAAAGAACTGTGTTTCTACTATCAGCATATGTTTCCATTTTTATTTTTTTTTTATTAAAGAGCAAAATAGAGATAAAGTTGGAGAAACAACTGGTGAACTGGGTTCCACTTTTCCGGCAAATCCTCATGAATTGATCTTTAAAAAAGCCCTTTAGGCTTAGAGAAAATTTGTCATTCCCTCTCCCTCTCCTTCCTGCTACTCCTGGAACTGTTAAACACTGTACTGCTAATATAATTCCACTGTAACATTCTTTAATAAGATGATAATTCTACTCTTCTTGAAAGATGAATATAGGCTAAGCTTATTTGAGGCAATATTTCATGAAGCCTGGGAAAAGTAGATTAGTGCTGAATCAAAGATTAGGGCTCTAGTCTGTCTCCCCAAAAATCAGAGATTCAAAGTTTGTAGGAATAACCAGCACCAGCATCCTAATAGAGCTTCTTCTAGACAGACTTAGCACATCAGACGCTCCTCTGTACATTGCTCAAGAATTCAAACTATTCAGAGAAAAGATCTCTGAAGATTTCAGTCCACCTCTCTGTGCCTACAGCGTCTACCACCCTAGGTCCAAGGAGCTTTCTGCATGCATTAAAGCACCCGGATGGTGCAAAGAGGTTCACTTCTAAAGTAAACACTGTGTATCACTGGGAACGGCTAGCTAACGTGGGTTGAGTTAAATTGTACAGCTGGCATTTACCATTAAATTAGAACCAATTGAAGTTTTGTTTAGGTTGACATTAAATAAGTTGAGCATTCTGAAGGCAGTACCTTCCAATAATGTGTTCTATTTTTAATGCAATGCATTTTTCTAGAAACAAGCTTTTCTAATAATGGACTGGTTTCATGCACATTGTAATT